CAGTACTTCAAAGAGTAGGGACACAGTGTTGTATGGCTCTCGATGCACGGATACATTTCAATTTGGTTAGCCTTCCTAATTTTTACGACATCGCGCGCAAATACCTTTATATGACCACAAAGCACACTGAGCACACTGCAGCAGAGGCTCCCTAAAATTTAGCCTACCCAGGATTCAGGTCGAAGTGTAGTGCGAGGAAAACAGGACACATCAAAAGAAAACACAGCACCATGAACATATACATATACCAACTTGCCTATTACACAACGTTACTTCAGTTCGCCCAGGGTTTTGAGACGTTTTCAGTTCGCCCAGCGTTTTCAGTTCGCCCAGGGTTCGCCCAGGGTTTTGTCCAGTATGAGGGTGCCTTGCATTTCATTCGTTTCTGTTTCGTTAACAGGTTATAACTATAGATGAGCACCGAGCTGGTATACTTGATTGACGTTTATTCTATAATGATTTAGGTGCGCTAAGACAAGGTGAGTGATGCACAAAAAAAAATGTGCAAATGCATCAAAAAAAAAGTGGAGCCATAAGCTGTACCTTTATAAGCCAGTAAACAAACCCAAGTCCCGAATATGTAATAAAGAGAAATATGCGCATTTTCACTTTGTGAACACGCTGCTGCAGAGATATTGTAAATATGAGCTATAATATGGAAGTTACAGGGCTTAGAACATCCGTTTTGGCTGGTTTCAAATTTTCGCGCAGCCTTGCCACCCTTCTCCGTCATAGGTGGGGAAAACCGTAGCCGTCGTCGTGACTGCGTGCTCTTCAGCAACATGACACGACACGTCAGCGACGTTATTGGCATGCAGCCAACTACCAAGCAGGGCTTCCTTCACATGAGCCCATCTCATAGCGGCACAGGGAGGAGGCGCGAAGCGAGGAGCACTTTTTCCCAGGCGGTAAAGTAGCGATACCCTTCTTTGTCTCAGACGCTTTGTTTCTGGCAATGCCACCCGTTCTGGTAGTTTCGAACCCTACAAAATGGCAGAGGACAGCACAGGAAAATGAAAATGTGGACTGTGCAGCCAGAACTGCATCACCGCAAGAACAAGGCACCGTTTCGTCGGGAAAAGGACCAATTGACGAGCTCTATGGTGCATAAGATAGCCCATGGGTAACATTGCATAATGCTCGTATCACTGCACACACAAGGGGGGATTAGTCAGGTGCGGGAATCGTTCTTAGAAATGAAGGTTCTGCACGGTCTGTGCTGTAATACAGTTGAACTAAGTTATAACGATCCAGAGTAAACTCAAACCTTGTTATAACTAAGTTGAAGGAGAGCCACAATTATTTCGTTATATCGATTATAATAGTTTGTGGCAATGTATGCTCAGATAGGCACACACCTATAAACATGCAAAGAAGAAAACCGCCTCGCGGCTCGATGTAACGCTGCGCGACCCTGCGTGCCACGGAAAATAAACTCAGTCGAATCTCATTAATTCGAACTTTCGTGTAATTTGAACACGCGCTGAGGTTCCATCGAAGCTATGTGTATTCCAATGGGCGAAAACGCCGTGTAATTCGAACGTGCAAGCACTTTCGAGGGTTAATTTGAACATACTGCGCTCCGAAAATGCGATGCCCAATCTCTCAGCGGCACCCCTCAAGGCTGCGCACGAAAAAGAAAAAGAAGAAAAGGAAAGAAAAGACTGTGGCGGATTGTTTGCTCTCTGAAATGCCGATCTGCGACGTGCCTGTTCCACGCTTCTCCCTTTTCCGTCTCTGAATGTAGAGACCCTTCTCCTTTCAAAGCTGCGTGCAGGGAGAGAGGAAAAAAAAAAAGCTGTCGCAGAGAGTCCTATTTTCTTGGTGCAGAGGGTAGCAGCCATGGTAGCAGCGGAAACGCAGTCGTCGCCGTCATGAGAGGGAAATCGCTTTGCACCGCGGTGTCGATTCTCAGTCATGTGACCCGCTGAGCACTTCCTCCACCCTCTCCGCTGGCTGTGTGAGGAGGACGGCTCTCTCGACCGTGCGGGACGTGGCTGTAAGGTCGGCGCGGGAGTTTTGAAAGAGCCGCGCCGAACCAGCGTCAAACTTCACAGAAAACGTTATACTTAACACACTACGGCCGCTTTTTCTTTTTTGATAGACTGTTTTATAGACTAATTTAGTTTGTTATATTCATTTACCAGTCAATTTTACTTAGTTACAACGACGTTTAGATGCGTGGTTCTCAGTAGAGCTTTCAAGGGGAATTTCATTTACTTCGTTACATTACAACAAAGTATCAGTGTACAACGATCTATCGGTTATGACGACCATATTCAGGTGCACATACAATTTTCCTAGGCTACCCATAGAAACTGCGTCCACATATTGCAAACATTTTTCAAAGCCTCCTAATGCTACAAAGAACACTTCCGACATGATCACAATAGATATGGCTAGAACTGCTGCTTGGGTAAGTTGGTTCATGATTAAGATAGATTTATCAGTGCAAAAAGAGACAGAACATTCAGGAAGGACACACACACACACACACAGTGCTGATGTGGCATACAAAATATGGCGCATACAAAGTGAAAAAAAAAAAAATTAGACAGGCATGTTAAAGCACATGGGAGGCGCGTGCCAGAATGTGCCCATTGAGTTTACTCGCAACGAAGATATCGCAGACCGCAATGAGTACCGCAAGCAGACTTCGGGCGCCCCCAGCTCGACTAGCAGGGCAGCAGTAAGGAAAAAAAGAAAAGGTGGCAGCATGAAGACTTTGCGGTCAGGTTTTTGCACGGCAAACTTTTCTGACGCTGTTCTCCGCACCTAGGACTGCCACCGACTGACAAAACAATGCCTTCGAATGCAAGAAGCCCGAGTGCAAAAAGCGATGACTTTTTGTCGTTTAAAATTACACTGCGACGCCACTATGTGGTGCGAAAAGGTGTTCTGCCTTTCAGTAATGGCAGTGACCGGTTGATCAGCGATAACGACTACCGCACGGTTACGGCGGTGCTTTACAGATAAGCATATCTGAACTTTTTCAACTTCAGACAACACCTAAATTCTGCGCACCCAGCCATACAATTCACGACTGAGTGTGAAAGCGATTAATGCCTGCCCTTTCTCGACGTCCAGGTGGCAAGAAAGCGCAACGGTCTGAAGTTCTCCATTTATAGGAAGCCAACGCACACTGGCCGCTACCTTTGATTTGATTCTTCCCACCCTACCTGCCACAAGGCCTCGGTTGTGACCACGTTACTCTAAAGCGTTAGGAACGTATGCTCCAAGGACAAAGAGCGAAAGAAAAAAGAGGCCCGCATAATTGCAGACCTCAGAAAAAACAGATACCCAAAAAATTTCATTCGAGCCGCCACCCGCCGTGCAGAGCAACAGAGGATACAAAAATCCCAATCAACCTTAATTGGCAGCCCCACGAAGCGCGTACTGGTTCCATACGTTCAGTGAACTAGCGAGATTGCCGCGGATCTTCCAGAAGGAAGGGGTTCGTATCGCGCAAGTGCCTTGGTGTACGCTGGGCCGCCTCCTCCCCCGCCCGAAAGACCGGCCAACAATGGACAGGAACCCCGATGTCGTTTACGAAATTCCGTGCACCAAGTGCCCCTCTTCGTATATCGGCGAGACGAAAAACCTACCAGAACAACATGAGTAAACATGCCAACGATGTGCGGAAGTTCTACAAAGAGCACCGTGTCAGTCGCCGAACATGCTGAGACGTTGGATCACCAAATAAATTTAGAATCGACGACCATCCTTGAAAGCGAGCTGAACTGGAGTAGAAGGTTATTACTCGAGTCGTGGCACATACAGAGGACAGCCCATAACATCAACCGCTTTCTCAGAATCCTTCCCCCAGTGTATACACACGGACTGCGCTTCACGGCAAAACCATAGAGAGAGGGGGGGTCATTATCAACCCCGCGAGTGCTTTGAAGACGCCGCTGCTACGTAGTCTACGCAGCCGCCTCTGAGGAAGAAACCAAGCCAGTTTCGAAATGTCGGGTTTCTTCAAAACTTTTGGTAGGAGTCTAAATTATCACCCAAGTTGAGGTGCGTTGATTATGGGAGATGCGTTAACTATGTGAGTAAATACGGTAACATCTAAAAGGCAAACATCGTATGAAGGAGGAAATACCAGCAGCGTTTCAAAATACTATGCCTTGATGAAGGAAAGAAGTAATATCAAAGCCTCATCTTATTTTGATAGACAAAAATATTCATGAGAACTAACAGTCAATGCTGCCAAATAAAGTATAGGGAATGTACTAATTAGAAGTCAGTGAAATGTAAACATGAACAAAGAAAAGTGGATGAAAAGATAACTCACCACCAGCAGGATTCGATGGCAAGTTATCTTTTCATCCAATTTTCTTTCTTCACATTCACATTACAATTGTGTGTAATAACATTCCTATACTTTCCTTGGCATCATTGTTTGTTAGTTCTCTTGAACTGCTACAGAGCACAAACTTCAGGGACGAGAGGCTGTTAGTTCTCTTCAATATTATGCCTTGATGACATGCATAAAATGCAATGGACATTAATGCATATACAGGCCCAATGAAGTGACGGTGCCTCAAAAAATCAATGCACTGTTTTGTGAAAAGCAACATCGACATGGCAAAATATTAGCAGTTCAAGCGTTTTGCTAATGACTTCAACAGAAGTACAACTGATCAACAAACCGGCTCGGCGATCATAGCCAATGGCGCTGCAAGTACCACAGCATTCTTCTTTCTCTAAAGCATTCATAAGAAGAATGCAAGGCAGCAGAATAATGCACCTATGAGCTTAGGCAACTACCAGAGCATTCTTCTTTCTCTAAAACAACCAAGAGAATAATGCAAGGCATCAAAATGATGCACCTATGAGCTTTGGCAATTCGTTCAGAATGATCAGCTGCAGCTTTGACGCGAGCCAGAAAAAGGCCCAGCAAGGACATCGGCAGTAGTGTATCAGCCAGCAGCAGAGTTGCATAAACCCCTCGTGATGGAGTTTCCAACTGGAGTGCTTCGCCTTGCCACACTTACCATGGAGAGGAGGGCTGCTGTTGCTGGCCACTGAGCTGTTGGTCACTGGATCGGGATCAAGGAAATCATACAGGCATTGTCGGTAGGCCGTCTGCACGAAAGGACCGGAAGAGTGGTTTCTATCATGGAGTTTCCTAAAATTAACCAGAGGGGACTCTGGTACTGCGAATCGTTCTGCGACCATAGGAATGATGTTTGCACTACGAATTTGCCTAGTCGTGTGGTTTCACTTGTTGCTGTGTTTCGGTTTTGTTTTAATCAAATCAGAAACTTGGAAAAATCAAATATTTATACAAATCAGAAACTTGGGAAAATCGAGAAAGTAATTTTTCAGCCCTTAATAATCCAATAAAATATTAATGTAGCTGCACCCTAAACCTACTACAGCATTGTTTTTGCCACCAGCCCACAATTGCTGAAGTGAAAAATCTGCGAGGGTGGCCGGACCATGCAGGCTGCAATGTCGCCTCGACATAAAGGGCACCAAGTCTGGACGTTGACACGGGACTGATATGCGAGAGCATGAGTGAGCTTATGGTGGTAAAAGCTGCGTACTTTGTTATAAAAAAAGGTGCTTTTCTCTTGTTGGAAAGCCATGCAATATATAGTGACATGAGTGCACTGCTGAAAGATGTGAACGAGGAACATTATCTCACCGTGGACACATCCAGGGGCAGAATGAAGATGATGGTGAAGGAGAAGTACCAGGCCACGAACACGCTGACTGTGACAAGCAGCGGGTGCTGACTGAAGTTGCCATACCGGTGCAACAGCACGGCTGCCAGCACAAACGTGAAGCACACCTCAGACACTAGTGGGCCCACTGCCATCACACCTGCAAGAAAATTCGCTGTAGTATCCGGTAAAGAGGTACCCACCACACTATTCTCCTGGAGTAGCCCTATGCAGTACAAAAAATTGCTTCTGATGTAGCTAGTTCTCACTACAGCTGTTTTTAACAAATTTATTCATTTAAGTTTATTTATTTACAATACTGTTGCTAGTTCTCGTTGCAGCTGTTTTTAACAAATTTATTTATTTAAATTTATTTATTTGTTTACAATACTGCTACTCTCTTTCAAGAGCATGGCAGTTGGGCAGTACAATATTTCACACACAAAAATGAAATAACGAAAGAAAACATAGTTAAAAGCAAACACTTACAAGCATGACAAGAGAATATGAATATCGTCAATACAATCAAAGAATGCAGGAGTTCAATATAATAATAATTGACATATAAAATGACCACAAAACATATTGGAAGCTCTAAATATTATGCAATGCAGTCATCAAACTGAATGCAACAAAGAGAAAATGTATGGCATTAAATGAAGACTAGACAGATGTAATTACGATAACTTTAGTATCGAGACTTCAAATGCATAAAAAACTTTATTTGCAAACACTGAGAGCTTGTTGGAAAATGTCTAAATTATTGCTGAGTGCAGGTGTGAATAAACAAAGAAGAACGGAACCTGTGTCACTTTATCGCTACCGTGGCCCTTCATACATAGCTCCTATTATGTCAGCATAGTTCTTTCTATTTGTGACGAAAATTCAGATAGCGATTCTGTATTGGGGATAGCAGCACCAAGTCGATTCCATTCTGCTATTGCGAGCGGAAGAACGAATACTTAAAAGCGTGGTTTTTGCATACGTAATTTGGCAATGCATGCTCATGCTTATTACGTGTTTGTTTAGCCTGGGAACGTGAGACATATTTGGAGGTACCTATCCTGTAGTTATTTTTGAGTAGCTGGAACAAAAATTTTATGCGAGCATGTTTCACTCTTGTGGACAGTGTTTGCAAGACGGACTAGATTAAAAGATTTGTTGGCGAATATAAGCGTCTGTTTTTGTTGTGATCCTAACAGCCTTCCTTTGTATTGCCTTTAATTTGCCTATGTTCATCTGCGTATGCAGAATCCACACTGTTTCAGCGTACTTGAGAACTGGCCTCACAAATGTTGTGTAAGCCAACAGCTTCATTTTAAGAAAAATAGTTTGCGTAGTGCCTTTGAAGTAATGTTATCTATGTGTTTGTCTTATCAGAAGGGAGTGTAACTCCTAGATATTTATGTTCCTCTACTTTATTAGGCAGAGTGCTGTTAATGGTGTATGTGTAGTTGGATGGTTTTGTTTTCCTGCTTACAGTCAATACCCCTGATTTTTGTATGTTTATTTTCATCTGCCATTTAGAGCACCAATCAGCTAAGTTAGCTAAAGAATCATTAAGCTTGATGTGGTCATTATAAATATTAATTTTTTTATAGATGACACAGTCATCCATGAATAATTTTATATTGCAAGCAGCATTATCAGTAATATCATTAATGTAGATTAGGAAGAGCAGAGGCCCAAGCACAGAGCTTTGAGGAACTCAGGATGTCACTGCAGCTGTGTTAGAAAACATTTGTTTGTAAAGTACAAATTGTGATCAGCTAAATAGGAAACCTTTTATCCAAGCAGAAATTTCCCCTATGCCAAAAACAGTTTTGATTTTAGCTATTAGTTTGCTGTGACATACAGTCAAATGCCTTAGACAGGTCTAGTAAAATTAAGTCAGTTTGGCCACAATTGTTAACTGTAGCAGCAAGATCGTGAACTAGTTCAGTAAGCTGGGTAATTGTGGACAAGCCACTTCTAAAGCCATGTTGGTTAGGAGAGAAAAAATTAATGTGCTCTAGGAATAATGTCACGTGTTTTAGGATTATGTGTTCAAGGAGTTTACGTAAGGTGCTGGTTAATGAGATAGGTCTGAAATTCGAAGGTAACGATGTGTCCCCTTTTTTGTGTATTAGTATCCCTTTTGCCATTTTCCAATCGTTAGGCAGTTGTGAAGTCTTGAGTGATTTTCGGAAAATGATACTTAGATACTGACTAGACCATTCTGCATATTTCTTTAGGGAACTGTTTGGTATAACGGCGGGGCAACTACCTTTTTTGGAGTCGAGATTTAGCAGAAGGTTGAAAATACCAGCATCAGCGTTATCTATTTTGTGGATATTTATTCTATGTTACTGTATCATTAGTGGAATAACGTCATCATTTACAGTAAACACTGATCGAAAAAAATTATTATATGTGTTGGCCTTAACGGTTTCTTTCTTCAGGGAGGAGATGCGATGTTCTTGTTTTCTTGGTGCAAAAATGATTTCAAAACCTGTGGGGATTATTGATAAGAAAAGTAGGTAACGTTACGCTGAAATTACGCTGTTTAGCAAGCTTAGCTTTAAGCTTTTAGCTTAGCTTTTGAAGCTTGAAAGAAACGTCGTTTGGCAAGCAGTGTGCGTATGTTGTGGTCGTGTATTCAACTTTGGTTTCACGATGGGTAAGTACGCAAGCTACACGGCTCGGTTTGAACTGAAGGCAGTGCAGTACGCGCTAGAGTACGACAACCGGGATGTAAGCAGGCATTTTGGTGCTGGAGAAACCAGTATTCGGTACTGGAGGGATCAAGAATAAAAACTTGAGGCGACGAAGACATGAGGGGCTTTCCGCGATGCCTAGACAGGCACGTATTCGAACGTCGAAGAGCAACTCGTCCGGCATATACGAGAGCTACGACAAGACAGCTGTGCTGTGTCATAGGATATTCTGCAGACTGAGGCGCGCAGAATAGCCCGAGCGCAGAGCATCGAAGCAAAAGAGTTCAAAGCCAGCTCCAGATGGACAACTTGTTTGATGCGGTGCTATGGCCTCACACTGCGAAAGCAGACCACTTTGTGTCAGCACTTGCCCACAGCATATGCGGACAAAGTGGCATACTTCCACCGTTTCGTTATAAATCTCCAACAGAAGAAAGACTTGATTTTGTCCCAGACCGGCAATGCTGATCAGACCCTCTTTGCTTTGATATGCCGCGGAACACGACAGTGGAGGAGAAGGGTGCATGGAGCGTGATCGTCAGATCGTCTGGCACTGCTAAAGAACAGTGCACCGTAATGCTGGCGGTGACAGCGGATGGGCGCAAGCTACTGCCTTGCGCTATTTTTAAACGTAAGAAGCTCGCCAAGATGAATTTCTCTCAAGGCATCTACGTCAGAGTCCACGAAAAAGGCTGGATGAGCAGGGAACTCGAGGTGGATTGGGTGAAAACAGTCTGGGGTCGGTGGCCGGGTGCTCTGTTGCTCCCGTCCATGCTTGTCCTGGACAGTTTTCGTGGGAACCTAGTAGACCACATACAAGATAAGCTAAAGGAGCTGCGCACAGATCTGGCAATGATTTCGGGCGGCCTCTCATCAATACTGCAGCCTTTGGACGTGTCCTTGAATAAGCCTTCCAAGGACAATGTTCGAAGGCTGTACACCACCTGGATGACTGGAGGACAACGTTAGCTGACTCCAGGTAGTAAGATTACGAGGCCGCCTGTAGAAATGCTGTGCACTTGAATCGTTAAAGCGTGGTAGGCTATTTCCGACCAAGTCGCCAGGAAAAGCTTCAAGAAGACGGGTATCTCGAATGCACTGGGTGCGAGTGAGGATGAAATGTTGTGGGGTGCGGATGATTCGGACGCCAAAAACGAATCCCCGCTCGGCAAGGATGAATGTGTGCTTTCCGACTCGGACTCCGAGTAGGGAAAAAGAAGAACACCTACGACTTTTGTGTCAGTAAATTTTACGTGTGTGTGCAGTTGACGGCTCTCGCTTGTTCATGAAGAGGTACGTAGGTATGTTTGTTTTATGTTGAATTAATTGGCAAACGATAAAGTCACCTTTTACTTCACTAATATGCAGATTTAACGTGCGAAAACAAAGTCCAAGAAATTTTCAAGAATTTTACCTCCTGTAATTGGCACACCCCTAACTACGAGCCGGATTTCCCTAAAAAAAAAGTGCGCCTTAATATTATGCGAGTAAATATGGTACTACTGTAGGTTTAGATGAATGCCTCCTCAATTCGTTTATAATAAAATGCGGTGGGTTCGCAAAAAGCCGGGAGTGGATTGAGGTATATTATGTCAATGCAGCCTGGTTATGCACAGAAATTTAGATTTACGGGACATTTTCATGACAACCGTACAAACTAAAACAACGGTCGAAATCATCGAGACTTGACAGGCATGCCGATACATACCCATACGCATGTGGCAATATTTTGCTATATTGTGTCTGGTGTTCTGTCGGATGATGTAGAGTTACTGTATATACTCCCTATGGAAGGAGTCAATTTACTTACTACTTAAACGACATACCTCTTGAATCTACTAACTCGTACAAGTACTTAGGCGTCCACATAACATCCAATCTCTCTTGGGCAATGCACGTCGAACAAATAATCAACAAAGCTAACCGTACGCTTGGGTACCTACGCCGTAACTTTTCCAAAGCTCCATCTTCATTGAAATTAGCCCTGTACAATACATTAATACGACCTAAACTAGAATATGCTTCTTCGATTTGCGATCCCAGCCACATTAATTTAATTACATCGCTTGAGCTAGTTCAGAATAATTCCACATGCTTCATATTATCGAACTACAATCGCACTGCCAGTATATCTGCAATGAAAAATAATCTGTCCCTGCCTACTCTGTCACTTCGAAGAAAAGTTTCCCGCCTATCAACTTTTCATAAATTGTATCACCACCCCATATTGCGCGACGAACTTATTTTGCAACCCCAGTATTTTTCCAACCGTGTCGATCACCGTCACAAGGTTGGAATTATCACCTATCGTACTAACACAGCTGCGCAGTCGTTCCTGCCTCGTTCTTCTCGCGAGTGGAACCACCTTCCCCCTGAAATTGTTGCTATTAATGACAACCATCTTTTTCGTGATACCGTAGCTAACATTGTATATGCAGGACCTATTTAATGTATTTTTGTTTGT